TGGTAGTGGTATAAGTGCTAAAGCATTGCTAATTGAATTGTACAAATCAATCATCCTAATTAAAAAAAAATAGAATTCACTTCACCATTGATTAGGCTATCTAGCAAGAAGAGAGGTAAACCAGTTATATATAATTAAAGATAATAACATCCTAACGAAGAGTTATCGAAAGAAATTGTAGTGTTTGAAAATTAGATCAACCCAACTAGTTGAACTAATAAATTATTAAACTAATATCTTAATCAATTTAATAAAATATTTTGTTCATAATTAATAAGACATTTGATTATAGTTTTGATTATTAAGTCTTGACCTCACATCTTTAATAGTTTAATGACAAATTCAATTTTTAAAAATTTTAAGACCAGGCATGGTCCTGAATGGTTTAATGACATATAAAATTTTTGTGTAATTTGAAAATTTGAAATTGAAGCCAACAAAAAAGGGTGTGGCGGCATAGAAGATAAGAGGCGAGAGACACCAAAAAAGCTCAAATCATTGCTGTGACTGTGAGGAGAGATCCAAAAGGCCACCTCTTACCTTGATACACGTGAATTCTCAACTGGTTCCTTAACCCTATTCCGCGTAACCCCTAAGAATCTAGAGCACCCAATCATATTCGGCCACCTCAGCAGATAAGGTAGACCTTTTCGGCTTTTCCAGAAACCCCATACGAGGCTTGAATTTGCAGGTACTATTACTGCTGCAAGACGGCTCACTTGGAATAGTAGAGTTAGGGTCCTCCGTCGGGCTCCATCCACACGAATACTTAGCCATTTCTTTTGCTCACGGCAACTTCAAATCACGCAGACTCCACCACCCAAGCGGCCATATCTCAACAACGTTACCAAAGAAGTCAAAAATACATGTGGCCCAGAAAAGAGTGCATCTAATGGGATAGAACGATTAAAGATAATTACTGAGGAGGTTTGGTTGAATTTGTCAAGGAAGTTGAATCACGTTATTTCAAAGTATCGAATTTGAGCTTTAAGATATAGAATCACATTAAATAAATATTATATCAATGACATTTCAGGGTACCTTTGAATAAATGTCCCATATAGTGAAGATGGTAATAATATTTAGATTTTTCAGAATACCAGGCGATGCAATAAAAAATAAATTGAAGATAATTTTGCTTAACCATCTAATTGTGTGTAAATCATATATATATATATATATATATAATTAGCTAGGCTGTAAGTGCATGCTTTGCATGAAATTTGAGATGAGTATTCATAACTTATCAATGATATAATGTTTTATTGATTTTCTCATACACACACGTGTGTGTTGATGGATTATCTCGTGATGTGTCAGTATTGCTCTATTTGTAGAATAATGGTGGATTACAAGAGAAATATTTACTATATAAAATGCGCATAGAAATTACAAAGCTCAAAATAAAAATAAAAAAGTTTGATTCAGCACTACACTGAAAATACTGTTAATTAACTAAAGTTTAATGTAATACGTTATTCGTCTCTTGTGAATAAATCCTGCACATAAGATGTTAACTGTGCTAAAAATTTTGAGCATTTAGCAGCACTCTTGTACAAGTAAACAGAATGTTTTTGCCATAAAATAGGGAACTAAATTTTCTTAATCATCATGCATAGAGTTCCAAGTTTTTCGTTAAACTTAATTTTACTGAACTATCATAGCAAACAAATTTGAAGGAAGTAGTTAATATTTTTTTTTGTTATTTAATTTTGCTCCCTGATTTTATGTAATAATGAAATTGATATCTTTGGTTTAAAATGAGTAAATTTGCTTCTTCTTTTTTTAATTCATCAACACAAAATTACAAAACTCTAATAAGGTGAGATATCTATCAGCCGCAAACAGTTCAATTTGCTTTCCAGATTTCAATGCAATGCAAGAAACGCATTCCTCCGTTAAAAAATATAAGTTATTTTTTAAAAAAGTTAAATATTAAAATATTTTTAATCTTTTAAAATATAATCATTGTCTTCTTTTAAAAGTGCCCTTTCACATAGAATTCAAGCTGGGTGGTTTAATTGGAGAAAAGTTAAAGGAGTTATTTGTGACCGTAGGGTGCCTAATAAACTTAAAGGAAAGTTTTATCGTACTGCTATCAGACCGGCAATGTTATATAGTAGTGAATGCTGGGCTCTAACAGGACAGCAAGAGCATAAAGTTGGAGTAGCAGAGATGAGAATGTTACGATGGATGTGCGGACATACACGTAAAGATAAAATTCGAAATGAGCACATACGTGAAAAAGTGAGGGTGGCACCTATTGAGGAAAAAATGGTAGAAAATCGGTTGAGATGGTTTGGGCATGTACAAAGAAGACTAAGGGAGGCACCAGTGAGAAGAGTGGAACATATAACTTTGAGTCCGATTAAGAGAGGTAGAGGAAGGCCTAAGAGAACACTCTTGGAAGTTGTTGAACGTGATCTCTTAATTAATAATATTTCTAAAAGCTTAATAAATGATAGAGCATAATGGCGTCTTGCAATCCATGTAGCCGACCCCACCTAGTGGGATAAAGGCTTGTTGTTGTTGTTGTTGTTGTTGTTGTATTAATAATTGACTTTATATTTATTGTAGGGTGTTTAATAGGGATAAATATAAAAAGATAAGATTATTTTGAAAGTAAGTAACTACTTTATTGATAGTAAAATTCAGTTAAAAATGTCTTATATTTTTAAATAAATGAAGTATATCTTATTTATAAACACATTTAATTTATTTTGTCTCTTTGTAGTAATTTAACGGAAAGCTATAGTTTTCTGTCTAGTTTTTTCTTCTTCTTCTTTTTTTTTGTTTTGTTTTTGCTTACCTCCCTTCAGATTTGACGTTGAAGTTAATGAGATTGTTAAAATCAATATAAAAAAAAAAGTTGGTCAAGAAATGATATTGAAAATTCCTCACAAAAAAAATGAATAAAAGTGTGAGAGATGCAAAAACTAAATACTCCTTCCTTTCTAAATTATAAAACGTTTTTAAAGAAAATTCAACATTTTAAAATATAAGACACTTTGATAAAAATAAAGTTTCATTAATGATATTTTTTTAATATTACTCGTATTCTTTCTCTTCAATATTATTTAATCAATAGAGTATTAAATAAAGAATATTTTTTAAAATTTATATTTTTATATTAAAAAAATAAAGTTATAAAGTGTATTTAATAATTTTTATTAATATATGAGATTTTATTTAAAAATATCTTATAATTTAAGGTAAAAAGAGTAAATTACTTCAAAAGAAGCGAACCATAGTTTTGTTTACTTTTTAACTATAAATGTTGAATTAACAATTTTATAACTGCAGCAAATCCTATTAGTCTGAACCATGTAAATAGGTCCAGGGAAAAAAAAAAAAACCGTGTAAATAGGTTAACGGGCATAATTTATGGACAGCCAAGAGCCGCAACAAAATGATACATGCACGAATATTTAAAGGAGTATTTGGAAGTTACCTACGCTACAAAGAGTTCAGACTTTTATTTAGTTATTTTTTAAAGGTCGGCTTCTCATAAATGTTGAACATCTTCATTGTAAGATGACACATAATTCACAATGTTTCATCTACCATGACCAAATAAAGAACATTAATCATGCCCTTAAAAAATATCTTTTTGCAGCAAATATCCAAAAAAAAGTTCTATGTCTCAATATGTATGTTGATTTCTATAGGAGGGATTTTACTACATGGCTGTCTGATATACTTCAATCACCTCATGTTAAAATTTCTTGAAAAACTAGCATTAATATTTTAAGTTGAAAACCATGAAAAGTTCGCAATCAACATATCTTCACCAAGGAAATTATTGATGAATTTTCTTGTTTAGTATATATTAAAGCTAGTGTAAATCATACTCATATATCTTTTTTTATATTTAAAAGCTTGATATAATTGCCTCTCTCACATTTCTGTATGTATTGCATATATATATATATATATATATTTAATGAAATTCCTCTCCACTCAAAAAATAATACATGTGCGAATGAAAGTTGCCGCCTCAACATATCAATTCAATCATTTTCATTTTCAATATTCTCTGAAATTCGGCATTTTTTTTTCTGACAAAAAATGCATTTGCTTTTATTCCCACCTTTGCCTGGGGCAAATTCATTGAGAACTTAGCAGTGGCACGACAAATACATCAGCTATGAACTGAGCTACTACAATCAGTTAGTGTCTTAATTATTTTCAGGCCTCAGATAAAGCAAAATTAAGAAGCAAGTGGTAAGCAGAGGATATTTCAGTCAAAATTATTTTTTATTATCAGAGTAAAATTATTATTATTATTTTCTAGATTTTTCATATCCGATTAAAGGTAATTTTATTCTAAGGAAGTTGAGCATTAAATGATGAAAACTTTGATTAGGCTATTTACTAAATCTAGCCCGTTGATGTAGTGTCAAATTAGGATTTGAGATTGGGAGTGTGTCTAGCCACTTGATGAATATCTTAATTATAATTATTATTGTTGGATTTAATCAATATTGAAAAATTATTAAGATAAATTCTTCTCTAAAATTCTAAAACAATACATACAATAAAAACACTCCTTGTATAAGTTATCTCCCAACATAATTGAGATTTGGTACTTTTAAAATATCATATAACAAAATCTCTAAAAATAATCCAACTGTAATTATTGTGCTATATGAAACATTTATTGGATGAATTTCAGCCACTCATTGAATCTATAAAATTATTGATAAGACAAAAAAGAGAAAAAAAAATCACCAAGTATTTAGATCAACTAATAAGAGAGTTGATCCAACTTAACCACTAATTTTAAATTCAAACCTTGAGTATACAGCAATAATTAAATTTTTAATAGAAGGTATGTTACCGAAAGTGTTATCCTCAATCGTGGACCGAATTAATTTGGATTAAAGATATGAGACACCGGACTCCCAAAAACAAAGATAAAAAGAGGAAGAAAGCCAAGACTGAAAGGGCTTAATGAGAGTGGTCCCACATTCAGAACAGCAGAAACCCAGCATTGTCTCTTCCTCTGTTCTCACCTCCATCCTTCCATCGCTTCCACCTCCTCCATCACGTACTGTGCCAAGCGTCTTCAACTCTCTGTCTCTCTCTCCTCTCTCCTCCATCCATACGCACGGCCTGTGATTGTGTGCGTGCCTATCTCTCTCTCTTCTCTACATTGCCTATATGTACACACCTCCCAACGTTTCTTTCTTTCCCTTTTATATCTGTTTTCCCCCGTGACCACCCCAACTTCTCTCTCTGAACTTAACACCGCTCAGTAGTGTCTTTGGCTCTTCCTCGTTACAATACTTTCCTTGACCAAAACCAATTTGATATCTTTGATACTGGGTTGGTTGCTCTTTCCTCGGGCTCTGGGATTTTGGAATACCCTCGTGTTCAGAGTTTTTATACTTGGTAGTGTCATCAGATTTTGTTTCCTGTATCAATAAGGAAAGTGAGGGAAATTTTTTACTACTTGTTTATTTATTTTATGTGGTTCTGGGGTGTTCCGCTCCAATTATGTTCCTAAACTTCTTGGCTTTTTCTTCGTTTCTCATTCATTTCTATTTCCTTTTCAAATATACAAGCTAAGGCCAACACCTTTTATTCCCTGTACTTTTTGGGTTTAGGGTTTTGTACCTTTTTTTTTCCCTGCCAGTGGCTTCTCGCTTTACTCCTCACTTCCCAGTCTGGGAAAAATGAAGCATGTTTCCTTGTTTTGAGCTTTTCCTGTACCTCTGGGTTTAAGCCTGTGGAACTCTTGAATTGATGAACATCTTTTCATGCTTTGTTCACTAGGTGTTCTTGAATTCTCTGCATGCTGACTCAACTCCTTGTTCACTTGTGCAAGCTTTGAATGACCTTCAGTATCTAACCTGTTTCGAGCTTCTTCTTCTATTCACAAATGTCTGCATGTTTAAGCGGAGCTAGTGGCAGAACCTACGGGTTCGATTTCGATTTTGTCAAATCACCGTCTCCACCGACCCGAACTTCGCATTCATCTTCTCCTTCTTCAACTATCTCGGAATCGAGTGATTCTCCACTTGCTATCTCCACCCGAAAACCCCGAACCCCTCGAAAGCGACCCAACCAAACTTACAACGAAGCTGCTGCAACGCTTTCCAAAGCTTACCCAAATCTATTCCCCTCCGAAAGCCTAAAAAAACCAGGCAAGTTCACCAAAACAACGGATAATTTTGCGGACGAAACTTCAGAATTGTTATTTCCTTTCCAAATATTTGATACGTCCTCTTTCCTACTTCAACACCAACCAATCCAACAGAAGCCCGGTAATTTTCCAGTGGAGCCCAAAGCGGTTAGTCTAACAGAAAAGGCGTGCCAGAGTCCAGGGGAGATTAGCTCACGAGTGAGTACGCAAGAATTCGACGATGATTGCCGAGAAGATTTCGACGCCGAGTCGATGCTCGATGAGGAAATCGGAGAGGGAATCGATAGCATCATGGGAAGCAGGGCCGAACATTCCCTCGGCGCGTCTTGTCACGGCGAACACGTGAATCCCGGGACTACGGATTCAACGAGGTTTAATTTTGGCGGGAAATTCGATTTCCGACTAAGAGCTCTCCGAGGAGTCGATGAAGGGAACTATTGGCGGAATATTCCCGCTGTTGTCCATATGCTTGAAATCTCGCCAGAAATAAAAAAGCCTGCTCCCGCAGCCCCAGTTTCGCCGGAGAAGAAAAAGAAGAAGACGAAGAAGGCAGATAAGCCAACAACCATCGAATCATGGAATCCGGAATTGCCGAAAGAGAGTTCGATTCCGAAGGCGAAATCAAATCCTAGTTTGCTGTTGAAATTGAATTACAACGAGGTTTTGAATGCTTGGTCCGACCGGAGTTCACCGTTCACCGGCGAAAGCCCCGCCTGTGACGTGCCCGGAAATGATAGCGCGGTATGTTTCTCAACCTTGAAGCTGAAATTGAATTTCTTAGCCAAACACTATTCACTGTTTTCTGTTAATAAATATAATAATAATATTAATAAAGTATATGCACTTCAGGCATCATTGCAAGGATTTAGTTTTGGAAAAATGACAGAGAAATCCTAATTACTTGAATTATGGTCCGAATGTTAAATTTTAAAAATTTATAATTTAATTTTTTAAAATTATAACTTTAATTGTGATAAATTTATAATTTATATTTTAAATTTTAATAAAAAATAATTTTTTATTCTTTAATCATATCAAAATTTAAAAAATAAATTATAAATTCATCACAATGTAGTAGTAAAATTAAGAGATTAAGTTATAAATTTTTAAAATTTAACATTTGATATCTAATTTAAATAATTAATCCTTTTAAGACCTCTTTATTATTCTTCCTTTGATTTTTTAAGTATTCTTTAATCTTTTGCTTGCACATGGGTTTTAACTTATTATTCAATATTGTTCAATGTGTGTTGATTTGTGGTTATAAAAATTCAGTGCATGACATAAACTTTACGTTTTTCTTTTTTAATCCTTTCTTTTGGACCCTTTAGATTCAGCAACATTCTTAACAGGGCATAAATGTGATAAATGCGTGGATTTTCAATACAATAATCTCAAATTAGTTTCTTAAAAGTTCTTACTTGTTGCCCTTTTATTTCACGTTTTAGGGAGAACGACAGTGAGAATTTCCAGGAAAAATAACAGTGAAGGTTAAAAATAACTGAAATTTTATTTATACACAAGTACATGTTCATTAATTCATTTGTATAAAGATGAATTTTCAATTCTTTTTTGCTTAAATTGCTGTTTTTCCTTCTTTGAGAGCCTTCACTGTCATTCTCTCTTTTTTATTATTAAAATGCAATGTAAAAACTCAATTAACAATATGCATGCTAACAATAAAAATAGAGTGGGATATTGAACTCTGGAGTTCAAAAAAATGTCATATTCCCTTGGTTAATTCTGTCGCACAATAATATCCAAGCTGCAGAACATTAAACATGATAAAGCTAAATTTTTAAAAAAATATTATTTCTGCTAATAAAAATTAGTCTAGTTGATAAAAATTTAAACCATAATTAATAAAGTTATAAGTTTAAATTCTGTCGATAATATCAGAATTTTATTAGTGAGTGATATGTATTTTTATAAGTATTTTTTAAATTTAAAAACATGCCTTGTTATTAGTGAGTTTATAAAAACCAACTCACAACAAATAATAATAATAATTATCTCAAAAAATTGTAAGCCACTTGCTAAGTGGAAAGGTCAGGGGTGTCCTCCATTTCAACAAGTACTACCTGACTCCCACGGATTTTACCTCATTCATGTCAACTGTACCTTCGCATTTGAAAGTGAAACTTTTTTATGTTTCCTGCTTGTCGATTTTTATATTGTTTAAATCAAATTTAGATGGCTTCGTGTTTTTTGTTTTGGTATTAAAATTTGATAGCTAAAATGATAATATGATTTGTGGGGGACAGGCGCGGCTGGCACAAATAGATCTGCTTTGGGATAGCGGGGAAGGAGTGATAAGAGAAGCCAGCGTGATGCGTTATAAAGAAAAGCGTCGTACCCGCCTTTTCTCTAAGAAGATCAGATATCAAGTTCGAAAAGTCAACGCTGATCAACGGCCCAGAACGCAGGTATGACTCAGCCTTTTTTTTTTTTGGTCTGAAGATACGATGATTGGATAATGAACGCCTCAACTCAAAATGATGGGGAGTGGGACCGTTACATGTGGTTGGTCCAACTTCATAGGATCTATCTTACTCAAATTATTCTCTCTCTGACCTTTTTTTTTTTTTTCTGTTTTTCTTTTTCTTTTTTGCTGCAATCATTCCAATCGGATCACTGTTACCTTGAAAAAAGGGCATGGGAGCGTTGCTGTTGTTGTGGTGGTGGTGCTAAATAATTAGGCTAATCTCCTGACCCTTAGATCTTATTTAAAAAACTTTAAATGTTATGATCTTATATAAATGAATGAATAATTGTAAAAGCTTACCGACTTTAAACATGACTAAAATTTAATCTCTCTGCATGGTTGCCATGATTTTGTATTCAAAAAGAAAAAAACTTGTGAGAGAAAAAATAAAAGGAAAAAAATAAATTTAAACTTCTGTCAGGTTACCCAGAGAAAGCAATATAAAAAGAAACCAGTGAAACAAAAGTTTTGAGAACAATATATAATAAAGTGGATTTAAATCCTCTAAAATTCATATTCATAAATTCATATGATTTTTTTTTACTTTTTTGTCCATGTTATTATTTTTAATAACACATAAAATCTTATTTCACTTTTTGAAAATTAATTTTATGAAATTCACGAATTCTTAATTTTAGAAGATTTAAATCCTGAAGAATGATTTGGTGCATGTTTAATTTCATGATGGCTTAATTAATATGTATGGTATTTGTTTGGCTAAAAGGTAACACGTGTTGTGCTTTGTGTTGTGGCAGGGGAGATTTGCGAGGAGGCCCAATGGGTGCTCTAACGCACAAAGCTCATAAAGTGAATAGCAGGTCTTACGTGCCATCGCTCTCAACTCTAATCATGATAATAAAAAGAAGCTCAACACTTTTTATTTGTATTATTTTGCTTTCTTTGCCTTTTTTTTTTTTGGTTTTATTTTACAAGGAAAAAGCCAACCAGTAGAGTGGAGTAGGGCTATTTTAAACCTTTTTTTTTTATTGCTGGGCCTTTTGGGGGGTCTCACAATAAATAGTGTCTTTCAATAAAAGAAATGTCATTCATGGATTAGCCATTCTCATTTGTGAAGCATTGCTGCTATTTAGTTGGTTAGTTGAGTTCTAATGCATATGGATGCTCTACAAGGTATTAAAAATTGAATTGGTGATTAATTAATTAAGACACTTGTTCAAGAGTTAATTGTCATTCTAATCAAAATGTGATCAAACTGATTATAAATAGAGCATTTCATTAAGTTAGTAAAAATACTAGTTTACAATTTATTGGTTTAACTGATTTTGTCTGACTTGCCTCCTTTATACCTTTCTTAGCAAACTATGCGTATTATAGTTGCCCATACCTTCCAATGTCTTTTGTTGCGTCATGTCATTCCCATGTTAGGAATTGGTGTCATTTTATGGAAAATGCTAACATTCGGTTTTAAAGGGTATTAACCATTAAGCACTTCCGAAGCGGCCTTCTTATCCATTTCACTCTCCTCTAAATACCTATGGTTAATTGTTCCTTTACTAAGGAAAAGTAGAGCACACTGATGTTAAGTTATATGTTAGCAACTCAAATTGTGTGTGAAATGTGAATGGGAGGATTCTCATCTCCCGAGCAGTATTGAGGTTGTCTAATTTTTAAAGTGCATACAGCAAAATTATCAAGGAATTGTTTACTTTTTACTCTTTACCTTCTATAATACAAGTAGGAATTTTCTATCATCATTTAATGACGATGGATGATGATTAATTAAATTCCACGTATGAAGGATTCTGAAATTTCACCGTTAAAAAAATGACTGAATTGAGATCAAGTTTTATTGATCAATTATTAAAATGATCTTTAAGTTAAAACAAGAATATCCCGCATCTCCATCATCATCGTTGATCCTGCGGGATGATTGCACGAGTTAGCTATTAGATTAGACCCCATCGATAAAATTGCTTATATATCAAGAGAATTATTTAAATATTTTTCAAATGTTTTAATATTATTTAAATATTATAAAATAATTCAATATTTAAGAAATTTTTCTACATCACACCCATGAAAAATACTTCCTTTATTTTGTAATATCAGTCTTCCTAGAGTAAAATTATTGTTGCATGTCATGAACCTTTTTGGAATTTTAAAGCAATATTTAATAACACTTTTCTTGTTTCACTCTTATCTAGTCAAATAATTTAACTAACTTATTTAATACAATTAAACATTTACACCTAAAAAGGGATAAATTTAGCAAAACATATCACATTTATGCATGTTTATTGCGTATTTTAATCTATATACAAGGATCTTAAAGAAATAACATAATAAAACGAAAACGTATCTTCTTCTCCTTTTTTTTTTTTTTCGGTTTGCCGACAGAAAACGTATCCAATTATAATAAGCACCTGGCAGTATTTCATCAAGGCTCCTCCTTATTATTATTTTTTAAACATCCATAGCTCTTCATTTACTTCTTTTTAATTTCTTATATATATTTTCTTTTTGAAAATAATTATATTTGGGGCACAGTCAAAAATTAAATGTGAGCTCCTCTCTTATAAAAAATGTGAGGGATTAATCCTTTTTAACAGACCCAACCTCATTGGTCTATACGTGAACAAAAACACTCAATTAGACTTGATGAAATACTGCCATTTGCAACAACTAGTTATTTTAGTGATATCAAACTAAATTACTAAAATTGATCCTATGCAATTTTCTTTCTGCCAGAAATTTTTGGACTTGACTTGTCTCCATTATCCCTTCTCTTCATTTCCTCTCCACTATCCTAAAATAAAATTTGGACCGTCTAGATTTGGTGTAGATTAAATCTGGATGGTCTAAATTTAAAATTTTTACTTTTTATTTTTATTTATTTTATACTTATAATTTTTGGATCCTTCAAATTAAATGTGAATTGTTCTAATTAATGATAAAATAGATTTGTTAAAAATTTTAATTTTAATTTTAATAAATATAAAATAAAAATAAAAAAGATTTTAAATTTGGATCATTCAAATTTAATCTATACCACATTTGACCGGTTCAGATTTTATTTTAGAATAATGAAGAGAAAATGAAAAGAAAGGATAACGAAGACAAGCCAACTCTGAGATTTTTCTGTGCCCAAGGGAGTTGAATGCAGTTTTGTCCAACATTTTCCACTGTCTAAGGAAAAAATTGAAAATTAATAGAACTGGGCATTAGGGTAAGCACTGTAATTGAATGGTCAGGGCCTAAAAGAATTTGGTTCAAAAAACCTGGAAATGTATTATTTTAGGACCAGGCTTTTCGAAACTCAGCGCCAAGTCTTAGGGCCATAGGGCCTGCCTGCAACTCTAGGCCCTGTTTGGTACGCAAGCCTAAATTTAGAGGGATTGGTATTAGGATTGGTATTGAGATTGGTAGTGGGATTGGTAATGGGAATGAGACTTTAAAATTATGTTTGGTATGAGGCAATACTTATAGAGAATAATTATTTTTGTTTTATTTTACAATTAAATATAAAATATAAAAAGACTATACTATCCTTAAAATTAAAAAAAAATTGGAACACCTTCTCGAAAACCATGACAGCACAGGCTCATCTTCATTTCACGACTGTGCATCTTTTGAGAGAGGGAGATCGAGTTTGAACCTGTGAGAGAAGGAGACAAAAGTGATTTTGAGATATAAATGACAGTGACTGTGAGATCGGCGACGGAGAAGGCAGCGATAGTTGCGAGATCCAAAGGTCGTGGTTGTGAGATTGGGGAAAGAGAACATAGCGACGGTTGCGAGATCGGCGACAGAAAAGGTAGCGATGGTTGCGAGATCTAGAGGTCGTGGCTGTGAGATCTAGAGGTTGGCGGTTGTGAGATCGGAGAAGGAGAACGCAGTGACGATTGCGAGATCTAGAGGTTGTGGTTGCGAAATTAGAGAAGGAGAAGGTTTTCACATTGGCCAGTAGTTGCGAGATTGAAGAAGACGAAGGTGGAAGGCCATATGTGTAAAAAAATGGAGGGCATTTTGGTCTAAAAAAATTCAATCCTAGGTTTAAATTTTCAATACCACCTCCCCCATGGGTTTCATTAATCCCATCTACATGGGTTTCATCAGAACCAAGGATTAAAGAATCCATCATACCAAACATTGTATCTGTGGGTTTCTTCAATACCAGTCCCAGTCCCAACCTGTCAATACCTCATACCAAACATAGCCCTAATGTGTTTTTTTTAAAACATAAACATTTAAAACATATTTATAATTAAAAAAGCTATTCCATACAAGACAAAATCCAAAAAAAAAAAAAAAATTTAATCCACAACCACACAAATCAGTAACAACTTTTGATATTACAAATAATGCAATACAAATTAAATATGTGTAGTAGCATCAACAACATTATAATTAAAATTATCAACATCATCACCATTCTCAATATTATAATTTGATCATTTCTTTTGGTGCCTCTTCAATTACAAAGATATTAAAATTTTCATATCTTTCTTCATTATTCTTTGTTATTAATATAATCTAATTAATTTATATTTTTCAATTTAAAATTTTAAAAAATAATAATAAGACTAAAAAGGCCAAGCCTATTAAGTCCAACTATCCCTTTTAACTCCTAAATTACAAGTCCAGTTATACCTAATTTTGGGCTTGAACAGGCATGTCTTGTTTTATTGGCTCTAAACAAAAATTTACGTAAAAAATAAGTGAAAATAATTAATAGACATAGCAATTAAATTAACCACCTGTTTATCAAGATACTAAAAATTAGACTAGTCATTGAATTAATTAAGGCACTGATTTAGAGGTTAATGATTAAAATTATAGTTAAATTATGATTATATTGGTCATAAACAAATCATTTATTAATTTGATCAATACACTTATTTAATGGTTTACTAGTATAGTTGAGTGAGTCGACCTATGTTTTGATACCATGTTGTTTATTGTTCGCGTGCCAAATAAATCAAGAGACATGATTTATTTATTAATAAATACAAACCATATTAGATATTAGATAGTTATAGTAGTAGTTTAAATTATAAAATAATCCGTGCATATAGGTATCAAGAAATGATCCATATCATATTCGAATATTATTTAATAATAGATTAAATGATGAAAAAAGAAAAAGATAGAGCATCGTGAGATATTTTCACTAGTATGTCTAGATTAACAATTCAATAAGAAACATAATGGGAGAATATGGTATTTAGATGAAGGACTATATGTCTTTTTATATTCATTAAGTTATAGTTGATGATGAAAGTATCTGGGGCATTGGATGAATTGAAGCAACACAAATTTTTGAATACATTAACTATAGCAATGTGTGGACTCTCTCCTAAGTGAGAGTTCTGAGAGTCTCTCCATACTAGGTATGTGAGAGCTTGAGATTGAGTGAGAGAGAGTATGATTTTGTGATCGGAGGATTGAAGGTTGGTATGATGGATGACGAGGAGGTTGTGAATGCTACGATTAATGAACTGATTGTATGGAATGAGGAAGGTTTAAGAAAAAATTGATTGATTGAAAAGTTTGATGGGGTAAAGAGATGAATAGGCTGACATTTAAATCAATGGTACGAAAAGCTTGGAATCTTCAGGAAGGTCTAAACATTACCGATCTGAAAGGAAATGTGTTTGCATTTCATTTTGTGGATAAGCAAGAGTGTTAGAGGATCTTACGTGGTAGACCTTGGTCGATTAATGGTCATATGCTGAATATTTAGGAGTGAAAAGGACACATATCGATTGAGGATCTGGATTTAGCTTTTGTCTGATCTGGATCCAATTGCATAATATGCCTTTAAGTGCAATGAACTTAGAAAATCCAATTTAGATAGCTGGTCGTGCTGGGGAGGTGGCTATGGTGGAGGATCTATGGCGAAATAATATATTAACTCGAGGATTTCTGAGGATAAGATTTATTCTGAATCTAAGAAAGGCGTTAGCATCGAGATTCTGGCTTATGAAACTTGATAAGGAGAAGGCATGGATTTTAGGGCGATATGAAAAACTGTAAGACTTTTGCTATTGGTGCGGTCATATTGTGCATGAGTTTCGAGCATGTCATTCTACGGATGATGCCATTGGTGGACCCTAGTCTACCGAGGTATGGTACTTGGTTAACTACTAATCCAGTTAGGATTTAGGAAGAGGTGACGATTGTGGTTAGGGATGGATGGGCGGGATTAGATCAACTAAGGAATGGTGGGGATGGTAGGTGAGAATGGAGACGAAGGAGGAGGGAGGAGGGAGAGAAGAAATCTGATGATAAGAATGATGATGATAACCTATTTTTAATAAGGTTACGTGGTGGTGAGAAGGGGAATAAGCAAGTAGATAGAAAAGATAAACCTAGAGAAAAGAGACAGGGAAGTATGGACTACGTTGCTTTTGAACAAAAGTATGGACCTATTGATGTTGGGCCTAGTGGTTGGAAGAATAAAGATGGGAAGGAGATTGTTAGTGGAAATGGGGCAGTAGTGTGGCTACAGAAGATGTTAGGGTGGTGGACTTGGGTCAAGATAAGGATGAGGAAAATTAGGCTATATGTCTTATTTTCAAGAAGGAGGTTCACAGTGTTGTTGAGAAAGTAGAGGTATTAAACTTGAAAAGAAAAGCTCGAGTTGAGATAGGGCCTCAAAAGACTAAAAGAAGAAGATTATGTGAGGAGGATATTTT